ACCTTGCGCTTGCCAGGCAGGCGCTTTGCCGCTGAGCTAAATCCCCAGCCCCAGATGTAATACTTTTAATATATTAAATTGTTGAGCATAGTGTGATGACAACGTTCAGAAAATGTTATGTATATTTTACTACTGCATGCTTACTAACCAAAGAAATTGGTGATGTGTATTTTACATATATGTCAGGTTCAATAACTTTGCCTGCCAAAATGAAAACATTTTGGGCATTTTAAATGTCTTGCTAATTTTGATAATGATAGCAGTCTAATAACAATAGTTAATTTTTTGAGTCATAAGTAAATTTTCACATGCACTGTTCTTAACAACCATGAATTTAACATTTTTAATTTCTTAAAATTTTGGCTTTTTTTGAGACAGGGTCTCGCTATGCAGTTCAGGCTGACCTTGAGCTCATTTTGTAGCCCAGGCTGGTCTGGAACTCGCAACAATCCTCTTACCTCAGCTTGCCAAGTGTTGGGATTACATGCGTGCACCACTGAGCCCGCCAAATCTCTTAAAATTAAAGGAACTAAGATTTGATATTTTATTTTCATTAAATTGATACAGAAATTAATATGTCCATAAATTAGATAATTGAGAAGTTACAGATTAAAGAAGTACAAAGTAGAGAAGTGGATGTAAATCTAATTCTGAACTCATGTTCAAAGCTTCTGCAATAAAGTAAAATGTTCCTGTCTTATTCCACTGGCATTATTGAAAAACTGCTCATTGTACATTAAGACAAATTTTAAGTGTGAATTTTAAAACTTCCTCTTAGTTTTGAAAATTTATTTTTATTGATAAAAATTCTAAAATTGTAAGGAAGTTTAATCTTTCCTAGATAATTGAATTTTACTGCTAAAATCCATTCAGTGTTTAATGATGCCCTCAGTAACTACTAAATAAAACAACCAAGTAGTTTCTAATTACTATAGTTTTAAATTGGATCCAGTTTTACAGTTTTTGGCTTCTGCTATAATTTCAACTAAGAAACCATAAAGGTAAATTTAAAGCCTGCAAATAAAAGGATATGAGGGCATGGGCTTTGTTACAGTTTCTTGGTTCCCTGAGTCACTTTTGTTTTCAGTTATGGGTTACAAGAAACTTGAGGTGGCTACAACGATTTTCAATGGGTCATATATGTAATTAAAATTCAATTACAAAGCATAATAATATGCTCCATTTAAATTATTCTTTTTCAATTAAAACAACTATTTTCAATCCCTTTTCAAATAGAAAGAAAAAACACCTTCCCCAGAGTACAGACTGCTATGCCAGCTGTGACTTTGCTCTGTGTTTTGCTTCATCCACAGTGGGTCCACAGAACATGCGTATTCTCATTTCATCTTTGTCCAGGTTAACTACTGTATCTCCATTTCAAGGTCAAAGACCTTAAAAGCTCAGAAAGGATCTGAACTTGCTTAGGATGACCTAGTGAGTATGCAGAGATTCAAATGTGAATCTGACTCCACTGTGCATGTGCTTTACCTCACACTGCCTCTGAGCTAAGATCTACACATCATTCATCCTCAGGGTAACAGTTGGGAGCAGCGACCAGTGATCAGTGAACCATGGCTGGGCCAGGTGCCTATTTTTTTTTGTCTTTTTGAGATAGGGTCTCACTATGCAGTTCAGGCTGGTCTTGAACTCACTTTGTAGACTAGGCTGGCCTTGAACTCACAACAATCCTCCTGCCTCAGCCTCCAGAGTGCTGGGATTACAGGCATGCATCCATACCCGACCAGTTGCCTATTTTTGTAAATAAAGTTTTGAACTCAGCCTACCATTTCTTCTACAATCTTGATCAGTAATCTACAGAGATGAGGAGCTGCAACAGAAATCATATGGCTACAAAATCTAAAAAATTTCATCTGAGCCTTTGGAGAGCAAAGTTTGCTGACCCTTGGTTTGGAAGAGTGGTTCTTCATTGTGTATCAGGATATCTGAGAGCTTAATAAAGTACAGAGAGCTGGGTCACAGGTTCTGATTCAGTGTACAAGCGTGTGCAGAAGAAACTGTATTTCTGATAGGTTCGCTCGTTTTCTTTCTAAGTCTCTCCCTCTGTGTCTGTCTTGCCCTCTCTATCTCTTCCTGTGTCTTTCCCTGTCACACACATACACACGCACACACATACACACACACACACACAAATGATGTGCAGGAACAAAAGGGTAGATGGTACCATACCCTGAACCAATCAGTTAGAGGAAAGGAGGAGAGGGGACAGATACAAGTACAGTGACTTTAACATATATATATATATATATATATGCTTTATCCATTTTCCATTCTTTAACTGAAATAAAATGTTATTTTATTTTATAAAAATAAAATGCTTTTCATATGCACTTCCCAGGAAATAATGATTATGACTGACACCATTATATCAGATTTTGATATAATACCTAAAGTAAATAAAAATTAACATACTTTCAAATACTGATTATTATAGTTCAAAACTGAATAAAATAGAATAATACCTTTAAAGTAATCTTCTGAATTTTAGCTCTACTACATTTCATACCATGCTGTGATAATACAGTTTGCCAACCAAGCTTTTCTCTTAGCCTAGTTATATGTCTCATCACATCATCATCGTCTGGCTCTGGTTCAACAATAAAAAGTCCAATGTAAGTGCAAATATGGCCATCACTTATGGGCATCATGTTCCAAATGTTTCTACATAGAAAAACTTAAAGGGAACTTAAAGTTAACAGAAAGACTGTATAATTGAGGAAGAAACTAATAGCTTGAAGTTAGTTTTAATAGGAGCTTCATATATGGAGCAATAGTTATCTACTTAAGAAAGGTATCACAAAAGACTTAACTCCATGATCCCAGATGTAGAGTGAGAGAAAAGAGCAAGAGTTGTCTAAAAGGCTTCTAATTCAGGCGCATGTAGGGGTGGAAAGAGTAGGGCCTGACAAGCAGGGATGATGGTGTGGTATGGAGATATCTTTCCCCAAGCTCTCACTCCACAGGTACCTTGAGGCTGTCTTCCTGGCCTCTTCATCTAAATGGTGCCTATTATGGAGTACAGGATGCTAATTCAAGTGCACATAGTGTGTAACAATTGCACCCAATCACCACATCTCCACGCCCTTAGACAACGGCCATTCTCTATGTTAAGAGGCTCTAAGCCCCTCTTTCCTAGCTCTTCGAAAGGTGAGTGATAAATTGCTATAACCCAGAGTCATCCATAGGCACTGAACTTTTCTTCTCCTCCCTAAATGCATCTTCGTACCTGTTGTCCGGCCTCCCTCTATTCTCTCACGCAGCCCCCTGGACTCTGAGGACCATGGGTTTACTCTCTAAACCTTTTTAGCTTCCACACACAAGTGAGAGCCTGCAGTTTGTCTTTCTGTGCCTGGTTTATTTCAGCTGACGAAACATCCTCAAGTTTGTCCATGATGCACAATGACAGGGTTTCCTTCTTTTGGTAGCTGAATGGTGTTCTACTATGGCTGTGCGCTATGTTTTAAACCCACTAATTGGTATTCAGACCTCTCCACTGATTCTGTATCTCAGCTATTTTGAACAGAGCTGGAAGAGCTATGGGTCTCTCACATACTGATTTCAGTTTCTTTGAATACTATTATATACTCAGCATGGGACTGGTGGATCTTATGGCAGCTTTACTTTAAATTTTTTGAGAAATAACCACACTGTTCTCCATGATGGCTGTACTAATTCACATGACTACCAACAGTGTATAAGTTTTCCCCATTGTCCACATCTTTTCCAGCATTTATACTCTTGTGTATTTGCCTACAGTCATTCCAACTGAGGTGAGATGGTAGCTTATTGTGCTTTTGATTTGTATTTCTCATATGATTAATGATATTCAGCAATTTTCATACTTGTTGGCCATTTGTATATCTTTGAGAAATGTCTATTCAGGGAATTTGTCCCCTGTTTAGAGGGGTTTTTCTTCTTCTTGAGCTTTCTGAATTCCTGATATATTCTAGAAATTAACCCCTTGCCAGATGAATAGTTTGCAAAGGTTTTCCCCCATCCTGCAGATTATCTCTTCACTTTGTTGATTATTTGCTTTGCTGGGCAGAAGTTACTTATTAACCCTCCTCATTTCCTGTGGAGCAAATCATAGGAGGAAGAGCACACAGAAGGCCAGGCTGACAATACCAACAATCCTGAAAAGACATTCTAGTCTCCAGGCCATCCGGAAATCATAAAACAACTCCTTTCCAAGAGTGAAATGACACCTGAGCAGTGTGTGAAGCAGTACCAGCACCAGGGTCCTCAGAGCTGCTCCACTCAAGGCCACTGGCTTCCCACCTTCTGCAGCAGAAACTCACAGGCCCTACCTCTGCCCTCATTCATGCAGGCTTGGGGCTATGGGGGCTGTTATCATTTTGAGCTATTTCTTTAAAAAAATAGAAGAAGCCTATATGAGTGGGGCTTTGAAGCTTCAGAATGAATAGCTTGATGATAAATAATCTCGGGACCATAATAGTTCATGTTAATACAAATAAGATTGTCAGATACAGAGGAAGTGCCAAATGTTAGTGGAGAAAACCTGTTTAAATGTACTATTTTGGGATTTAAGCACCATATCAAACATATAGAATTGTTAAGTAAAACAATGCCATCAACTTTCACTACCCAAGATAAAACAAAAATGTATAGTTTATCTCATTTACAGTTTTAATTATAGCTTTCACAGATTGTTCTTTAAGAACATAATCAATGAAGAGTCTCTGTCAATTTTTACATTTTTATTTTAAACTTTCAAAAAGAATTTTAAAAATTAACATTTTTTAAGCAACCAAACACATGAAATTCAGTAAGACATTTTTCTAAATCCAGTGTCCAGCAGAAGCCCACAAACCACAGAACAATGTGGGAACTGGCAGTTTCCCAAGCAGCTGGCTCCATGGTGCCCATACCTGTTCTGTCATAAGACATCAGTCTGGCTCGCTGCACTTTGGGGTGGGCCAGGACTTGCTCCTTTCCCTTGCTGGGTGGACCTTGCTCTTTTTGGGAAACAGGCTCTGGAGCAGCTCTATGTGGTTGAGTTGTATATTCTTTAAGGTAATCTGCAAACAAAACCAGCATTAACTAGTAACTAACATAAACTATAAGCAATACCACAGTAATTCCACACCACAAGCAATACAGCAGGTTACCCCAGGCACCATAACAACAGCAGCTTGCATTATAAGCTCTGAGCCAAATGCCTAGGTTTATCACTCAGGGAGAAGCCTCACCCCCGGGGTTAGGTGTCTGCCTGCCCTGCTCTGCTGTACCACTGCCATGAGCACAATTATAGTAAGGCCTCATCAGCTCCTGGTTACAGGAATTGAGTTGGTAAATACATTCAAAAGACAAAGTAAGCACTTTCTAAATAAATGTTGATTATTATTACACAACATTTTAAAGGTATGAATCTTTGTATGAGATACAGACAGAAAAAACCTTTATTAATTGTAACTTGGTAACTGAGTATAGAAAATATTTGGATATAAATACAGAAGAGCAGCAATGGGTGTATTTCTCATATTTCCTCTATGTCTTATTTCACTGGTAAACTTTCAACACACAGAAGAATGGAGAAATGATTGAAATTAGAACTATTATTCTTTATGTAAGAAATAATTTAGTATTTAGCTTATAAGTACACAGCCAGTAAGGCACAGAGCCTAAGATGGAGTTGGCCAGTCAGACTTACAAAAAACACCCACAAACACAGTGTTAAGATTTAACTCAAGCCCTATCATTTTCTAAGCTCAGAAGCATAAAGCAAACAGGGAAAATGCAGGATTGAAGATAAGGACAGGCACTCAGAATTCTGACCCCAGGAAACTCCTTAGGCAGAATGGAAAATACCAAGTAAACAGTGCCTCTTTACATCCAGCCTAGCATTGGGTTTCAATGAATTTAAAGACACTGAATAACTTTTTCTTTTGAACTCTGCATTAGAAAGCCTGAATCCCAACTGGTTATAAATCCACAGGGTTACCTATGATAGTGACCAATGGACACTGACCAAATTTCTGCATTCTGCTTATCCATAAAAGAACCTAGACAAAGACTTCACTCTGGTGCCGCATTTTGGGACCCCTTCCAACTGTTGAGAGCCTGCTTTCTTCTTCTACTTCCAATAAGCACCCTTTAACTTCCAATATGCACTGCCCTTAACTATATCCTTTGTCCATGATTTCACTGACTGTGTGAGAAACCAGCCCAGTTTTCAGGGCAACAGCTAGATGGGGGTCTCACTAAATTTCCCTGGCTGGCCTTGAACTCTTAAACTCAAGCAATTCTCTTGCCTCAGCTCCCTGAGTAGCTGGGACTACAAGTGTACAACATTATACCACGCAACAGAATTTTTTTGGAAGCAAATAAATTTTACTTGCTTGTTTCACTCATTAAAAAATACTTATGTTGAGCTATAGTCTAGTAGAACATGAAATACAGTAACTACAAACAAAACACAAAGCAAGTGAAAAATGAAATAACCAGGAAGTTCTGTTCTATTTCAGCCAACATTTCCAATTCAGATGCTGGAGAGAGATTTTCCCACTTGTATAGTTGTATAGTATAGTTGGAGGAGACACATAGCTGTCCTGCTCCAAGGAATCAAACGCTGACAGAGGTGAGGGTTTTAATTGTAGTGTGAAGCCAAGGCCTTGGACTGAAAGACAACAGTATTGGTGGTCAGAGGATCACAATGGGAAGATGTGAGCTTTCATGGAAATTTCATGTTAGGTAGTTGTGAAAGCTGTCCTCTATCATTGACCACTCTTCCAAGAGTGTCCTGCACCTCCTCTCTGAAGTCTCGTCATTCCTGAAGGACACCACTGGCCTGTAACCCTTCCTAGGATGGTTTGTGCTCTCTGCTCACTCATACCTCCATGTTGGAAGTGAGCTATTTCTCACATGTGCTCTTTAAAAAATAAGATACAATCCCACACCTTTGAGGCTTGTTCCTTTTTGTTCCACTCCTCCCTGGCATCCACCAACAGTTTGGGCACTCTGTCAGTTTGGGGTTCCAGCTCCAGATTAAATCTGTCCTCATTCGGACAACTCTCATGTTCCTGATTCCCCACTTCTCAGGGGTCCACCTCCCCCAGTGATAGCTAAGCAGCCACATGCCATATCTACCACATCAGTCTTCTAGTTTGTTCCAGATTACTGTGAGGAAAAGACTTAACAACACGTCATTCTGTATGTGGCTGCTGTCATGACCATCATCATTCCCATCCTTCACCCTGTTTAACATACCCAATGCAGCCACTACTTCATCCACCCACCCCCACCACTCATAATGCTCTTACAAACCCATCAGTCCTGTTTCTCACCTTTGTCTTTATCCAACTCAGATTATGTCGTCTTGCCACATACTTTTGCCAATACCCTAAACTCTCTTTTGATTTTATATAGTAAAAATAAAACCCACATGGCAAAACTATAGCCCTGGCTGAGCCAGCCTTGTGTGCTCTCTTGCTTCCCTCTACAAACCCCAGCAATATGAGAGAAAGGCCCACAGCTAAGTGGACTGCTAACCCCCAAATTTATTCCAAATTTATTCCAAACTGAGTGCTGGAGGTTTAGCTCAGAGGCACAGGGCCTGCCTGGCAAGCGCAAAGTTCTGAGTTCGATTCCTAGTGCTGGAAAAAACCAAAAAACCAAAAAACCAAAACAAAACAAAACCCCAAATTGACCCTGAACCCGAGCAAGAAACCCTACTCTTGGTCCAACTAACTCGCTCGTTTCTCTTTCAATGACTGTTTCAGGTTTTCTCCATGTTCTTCAAATCTCTAAACCTTTATCATCTTCCAGTCTCTTCCCTCTAACCTCAATGCTTACTTTCCAAGGAATGCAAAAGACATCAGATGGGATTCCTTCAACTTGCCAAAGCAGAACAAACCCAGCCACCCACATCTGCACCCACTGTGTCCTTTGTCCTCATGACTTTGTAAAGGTGTCTCTTTTCCTCTCATCCAAAACCAACATTCTATATCTTTTGTTGAGATCCTGCCTCTCCATTCACACATTATTGTTTTTTCTTTTGTATATCTGTACAGCTCCCACCTTGTATGAAATCCATTCTCTGACCACAACTCTCTCCAGTTATATCATCCATGTTACCTTTCCTCACTGATAAACTACTCAAAACAGTTGCCTATGATAATTATTTTATTTCTTGATCTATTATCCATTTTTAATCCACTTCTTTCTTGGAATTCCACCAAAATATCACTCAAGGGACCATACTCTTGAAATCAATGAATTCAATGGACATTTTTCAGTCCTGATTTTACTTCCTATACCAGGTTTATTTGAGATGCTAGATTACTCCTTTTTTTGGATATAATATTCTCCTTTCACTTCTGTGACACCACATACCCATCCCTTCCTCATCATCCCATTCTGTTAGACCCTGGCCAATCCATGTCCCCCTACAGCTGACCTTCTCCTGGGTCATGATGGCTATAGTTCCTCGGCTCTGTTTTTGTTTCATGTCACACACTCTCCCTAGGCAACCTGGCTGTGGCCATAGCTCAACACCTCCCTCATTAGTCCCAAATGCATTGTCTCAGCTCTGACACCTCTGAGCTCCTCTCTCATGTCCACTGCCTCTGGGACTCCTCTGCTGGGATGGGCCCCAGGAATTCCTGATTCAACATGTCCAGCACTGAGCTCATGATCCCTCCATGATGCCCCACAAATCCTGATGTTTCCAGAGTTCCCATCTGAGTGCACAGTTTCATTGTTTACCTCCTTCTCTGGTCCCTCTTCCTTTGCAAATCCATCCCATGACTGATTAATTCTACTTGCAGTAACAGAAAGACTAACTGTTATCTCTGTATCAATTCTTGTTCACCTGCAAACTATTCTTCAATCTACATCCAGAGTTATCTTTTCCAAATGGAAGCCTAATCATAACAATAACTTGCATAAAAGCTTTCCATGGCTCCTGTCCCCAAAGGACAGAAGTCCCTAACATGGCCACCAAGTCCTTGCTTTGCCCAACCCTTGCATTCCTAGCCCTTTCTATTCTGAGGAAAATACAAAAAGTACCAGATTAATATAGTCCCAAAACTCATGAAGGAAACTGAAAACATAGCTAGAAAGCAGAAAGAAAGTCAGATGAGCAGTTTTCTTCAAGAGTTAAGGAAAAGAAAGGAAGGGGTCAACAGAATACACAATTGCAGAATGGTGCAGTAAAATGAAGATTATTTATCAATGAATTATTTCTATGAGGATGTAGTCATGAGGAGGAGGCCGATGGCCATAGATGTCTGGTCTCTGAAGTGGAGGATGCTGAGTCCAGGTGGGAGCAAGTGAGAAGTGGAGGTAGAGGAAGGGCCTGGGCTGCTGCTGTTCCTGCAGTGGCTTCAGGGTGCCTCTACGTGGCTATGCTTTGCTTAAGATTGTTAAGCTTGTTACTGCTTCTGTGCTGACAGGAAAGAGCCCTGGAAAGGAGACCAAAGAGAGGATGATGGGCCAGCAATGAGGGCCAGTAGAGGAACTGCAGCAGACCTGGAGGTGGATTCACCTTCAGAGAGAAGAGGCAGAGTCCCCAAGCCAGGAAGGGCAGAGGGCGGGACACCCAAAGCAGAGAAGGTAGAAGAGAGCTGGATTTTAAAAGGAAGCTATGCTTTTAAGAAAAATCACAGAAGTACTGGTAACAGTGGGATCTGGGGGAGGGACAGGGAAGATGTCACAGAAAGAGGTGCCAGGGAATGAGCGGATGAGGGCCACAGAGGGGCCACAGCAGACAGGAGCACAGGGATACGGACCCTCACTGATGTCTTTACCCAAAACAAACAGACCCCCTGGAAGAGTGAGGTGAAGGGACATGGGCGAGAGATCAGATGCCCTTCGTGCTGTTAGTGACGGCCCTGTTGCGGCCAGTATTTACACGATGTTTCCTAATCTGAAGACACTGCTAACTGCTATGGCAAATGAAATTAGTTAAATGCCAAACCTTGTATCTTAGAAGTAGACTCTGGTATTTAATCCATGTCACCTGCTTTCTTTAGAGCTATGAAAAGTTTCTTACATTTCCATGAAAGAAAACATGAATCAACATGCCTGGGTAGTAATCTTCATAAATTTCTTCTGTTTTCTCTGACTGCCAGGATACAGAGCGTTTCCTGGATGTTTTACATTTCAATGTTTGCTTTGCTGCTACCTCAGCTGATTGGTTCTTGGATGGTGTGACATCTTTGTATTTTTGCTTTTCATAGTTTAAAAGTCTAAGATAATAAAGAAAACAATTTTAAGAAAATAAATAAAAATTCCCAACAACAAAATAAAGAATTATTAGTATAGTAACTAAAATTTCACATTTATAATTGAAACAGCTTTTGGGGTTAATAAATGCTTTGACCAGCACTCTCTATAATTTAAGGTTATTTACACTCTACAATACAAAATCTGTTCTTTTAAGCAACATTAGCATAAGAAAACAGATATAAATTGTCACCAACAATTTAAAGCTTGATTTCATTTAATTCATCTTCACCCAGAATATATACTGTTCTCCTTTATGAAAAAAACAGACCAAACAAAAAGCAAACCCCTATCAGGGTTAAAACAAAAATATTTTCATACCTCGTTAGCCAAATGCCTACCTTATAATGTTGAGGAAAACTTCTTAAGAACAGAATCCAAAATTACTGCCTACAGTTGACTTATTTGGTAGAAGACTACCTTTTAATAAGACAAAGGAAATTTACGGTTCTGCAAAGCCTCAACTGTATTTCTCAGGGAAAAATTATCTGCTGTTATAGTAAATAAAAATACCTAATTACATGAATAAGGAGGCAAAACTTCTTTGAACTAATTTATAGATAGCTCATAAGGTATTTTTAAATCCTTTCCCTTTGAGTATCTTATGAATCCTCATTTAGTTTATAAATATCTTAAAATGTTTCCTCTTTATTGATATGTCTACCTGTATAGTCTTTTCTTACACTGAATTGTCATTTATGCATTTTGGATACTAATACTTTTCCTTTCATATCTTTGGTTTGGATTTTTTTTAACTATTTATGTGGTACTAGGAATTTAACCTATGGCTTTCATACTGAGCTACATCTCCAGCTGCCCTACCCTCAATTTTTTTTTCTTTTTAATTTTGAGACTGTTTCACTAAATTGCTAAATTTCCCAGACCAGGCTTAAATGTGCAATCTTCCTCAGCATTCCAGAGTGCTGGGATTACAGGCCTACAGAAGTTCTTTAATATATTCATCTTTGTCTTTAAGGTGTATGTCATTTATGTTTTCTTTTAAAATACTTTCCTTACACCAATACTATAACACAATTCTCTGCTATATTTTCCCAATTTTTACAGTTTTTCCTTCACAAGTCTTTTTAATTTATACAGAAGTCCTTAAACCCTTGGTTTTGGGGTACAGTGTAAGGGGTGGACCTGATTTCTCTCTCAGTCCCAATATGAATATATAGTTGTCCAAGCAGCTGTACAGAGCTCCCCTAGCCTCTCCCTCATCACCTGCAACACCAAGACTGCTGCTCTAAAATCCACACACTCAGCAGGGAATGGTGGCACAGGCCTGTAATCCCAACACTTGGGAGGCTGAGGCAGGAGGATCACCAAAAGTTCCAGACCAGCCTGGGATACACAGTGAGTTCAAGGCCAGCCTGAACTACATAGTGAGATCTTGTTTCAAGGTAAAACAAAACAAACTAAAACACACACAGTTGTCTGCCCCCAGGGTCATTATTTTTATTTGCTTCCGGATCAGACTGCCTTAATTACTGTAGCTTTATAATAAGTTTCGATAGCTGCAGGTCAAGGTGACCATTTTTTTTCCCAGGAGCACTTCATAAATTCTTAGCTTTGTTTTTCTATATAAATTTCACTGAGTTTTCTATTAAACTTTATAACTTTCTCTATAAAAGTAAAATACTTTGTTGTATGGGGACCTTATTTTTATTACCATTACAAATGATAGCTATAATTTAATATTTTCAATCTATTTCTGAACAGGAAATGCAGTTTACCTATATATATCCAACCTCATTAAAATCACTAATTATAAAACTTTAAATTCTTTTGTCCTTTCTTTGTAGTCATTTTAACTATGGGTGACTATGGTTTGCTCCTTCTCTTTCAAATCCTACAGCTTTCATTTTCGTGCCTTTTTCTTTTTTGTCCTATTGCCCTACTTAGGCACATGGTTAGAGTGATGACCAGAGCAGGATAAGAAACCCTTCTTGTCATATTTCTGAACTTAAAAGGAGTGCTTTAAACACTTGGCCATTAAATATGCTACATGTGATACTTGCTTTAGGTATTAAGGGTAGATACCCTTAATCAAATAGTTTAGTAATAGTTTTTATCTAAGGTAGAAAATTTTATCAAATTTTTTTTCTTCATTAGTAGTAAATGATACTGGCAGGTTTTCTAATGTCGAATTGACTTTGCATTTTTTACATAAACTCTTTAGCTTGGTTGTTTTTATACACTGCTATGTTTAGTAGGTCAGCATGTTGTTTAGAAGTTTTTTGCTTCTAAAGTCAAGAATAAAATTGACCTGGAAGGTTGTCTAAATTACACTTATGGGTTGGATTAGGGACTACTTTCTCTGTTTTGGTTCTACTGAAGGAGTAAGAAGATGGCAATCATCTGGGTCTCGAACATTAGAAGTCACTGGGGGCACTGTCTCCAGTAGAGCTCGAGGGGGTGACTCTGGCCTGCCTCAGTCATTCCGTTAACGGCGGCCCGCTCTGGGCTGGGCGCGGCTCCGGGTGGACTGTTCGCCTGGCCTGGACCCTGGATATACTTCCAGTACCAAAAACCAACCAACCAAACAAAAACCCAGTTCACCTCACCCATTTCTTAAGGAATCCACTTTGACTACATTTTTTTTCTTAAAATTTTAGTACCATGGTACCTTGGTTCACAAACCTAACTCCCTGCGCGATTCTGGGGTAACGGCCACCTTCGCGTCAGTTTCGCGCAAAACAACATGGCGACGGTCCTGCTCCTCACCTCAGGCGCAGTTCACACACAAAAACACAACTGTGCCAAACGCTTCTGTCTGCACACCACACTGTTCGCAAACAAACGCGTTCACGAGCCGAGGCGCCACTGAGGGCGCCGAGCCCACCGCCTGCAACAGCGACAACCGCCGGAGCGCAGCGGGGCCGCGGCCGCCCGCCTCCGCCTCCCCGGCGCCC